TTTTATCCTTTTAATTTTGGGATTTTTGGGGCGTCAGCTCATTTTTGGGGTTTTGGGGGTCATCCTCCCAATTTTGGGGGGCTAATCACGAATTTTAGGGGGAGGTGATCCCGGATTTTGGGGGCTGATCCCAAATTTTGGGGGGGGCCTCACCTGCTCAACGTCAGAACTCGGTGTCGAGCACCCGGAAGGCGGAAGAACCTGCAGGGAAAAAAGGGGTCAGGAAACCCTCCAAAAAAACCCCAAAAAAACCACAAAATCACCTCAAAAAACCCCAAAACCACCCCAAAAAAAACCCAAAATCACACTGAAAAATCACCAAAACCACCTCAAAAAAAACCCCAAAATCTAACTGAAAAATCATCAAAACCACCTCAAAAAAAACCCCGAAAATCACCCCAGAAAAAAACAGAAAAATCACCCAAAAGAACCACACCAAAACCACCTCCAAAATAGCCCAAAAGCACCTCAAAAAAACCCCAAAATCACCCCCAAAAAAACCCCAAAATCACCCAAAAAAACCCCCCAAAAAAACCCCAAAATCACCCAGAAAAATCCCCCAGAATCACCCCAAAAAAACCCCCAAATCACCCAGAAAAATCACCAAATCCACATCCAAAAAAACCCCAAAAATCCCAAAATCACCCCCAAAAGACCCTAAAATCACCACACTAAAAAACCCCAGGGTTCAAGGTATGGATTTGGGTTTTATGGGTTTTTTTGGGATTCAGGGGTTTTTGGGGTTCAGAGGATTTTGAGATTTGGGATTTTGGGGCTCAGGGATCTTGGGGTTCGGATTTTGGGGCTCAGGGATTTTGGGGTTTGGATTTTGGGGTTTGCATTCTGAGGCTCAGGGATTTTGGGGCTCAGGATTTTTGAGGTTCAGGGATTTTTGGGGTTCGGATTTTGGGATTTGGGATTTCGGGGCTCAGGGATTTCGGGGCTCAGGGTTTTTGGGGTTCAGATTTTGGGATTTCGGGGCTCAGGGATTTTGGGGTTCAGATTTTGGGATTTGGGATTTCGGGG